AGGGGGGCTTCTTTTGTGGTGAAGAGGTCTTGGGCTGGGAATTAGACTGTCGGGCTCCTTTCCTAGCCGAACTAATTACCCCCCCAAACTCCCCCCCCCTTCCCATCCTCCCGTTTTTCCTTTCCCCTCCTCCCCACCCCCCCTTTTGCCCTTCTTTTTGGCCTTTGGGGGTTTTTCCCCAGGCGCGCTAGTTCCTGGTAGGGGAAAGGATACCGGGGGGCCCTCCCCCTTTTTTTGTTGAGGTTCTTGGGGGGTGGCGTAGTATGCTTTGGGAAAGGATGCCCGGGGATGTCCCGATCCCCCTCCCGGGATCCGGGGAAATAGCTTTGGGGTCTTTGGGGCGGGTGTATCTCTGGAAGCCACCCCTTTCGGATTCTGGGGGGGGGGCTGAAGGGGATGCTTTGTGGCGGTATCCCGGTGCCCTCCTTTTGTCCCCCGAGGTAGCTCGGCAATTTTGAGGGTTTCTATCCCGGATTGCTGGTTTACGGCATGAAGGGGGAGGGTATGGCACGGGTTTCCCGCTGCATTGGTACTAGCGGGTGCTAGGTCCTCTTGGGGCGGAGGGAGATTTCCGCCCTTTCATTCCTCCAGGAAAACATTCCTCCTGCTCCCTCTTTTTTTTTATTCTTTTTTTTTTTTTTTTTCTTTTTCTTTTTTTTTTTTTAAAAAAAAAAAAGAAAGGAGTAACCAACCATGGAGAACCCAATCCATGAACCCACTACCCCCGGGCCCCCCCTTGTTTCCCCACCCCCTTCTGCCCCCGCCTTGTTTTTAGACCCTTTGGACCTCCTGATCCCGTACCCTTTTCGGTGCTGTTTCCCACCCGCTTTGGTACTGGGGCTTCGACTGACTCCCTTTTTGTCTGCCTCCGCTTCCTTTGATATGCTTCCGGCCCCTCCCCCTTTCGGGACGGGAATTTTTGAATCACCAGCCCGTTTCACGAAGGACCAACTCCGGTCCCCTTCTAAAGCCAAAAATCAAACTCCCGATGATGTTTCCCTTTGTTACCTTCCCATTTACTCAAAAAAAAACTCTCTGCCTGCATTGTTATAAGGTTCTGAGTTCCTTTAACCTACTCCTCATAGTACATAAACCTTCTCCGGGAAAAGATCTTGTTGCAAACTTATCCCCTTTCTCGTGTTTGACCAAGCATGGGTCCCATACTGGCGCAGCATACTCCAATATTGGCCTGACGTACATGGTGTATAATGTCGTGAATGACACCTTACTCAGGTGTTGAAAAGCTATTCTTAGGTTTGCCAGGCGCCTATATGCTGCAGCAGTTACTTGGTTCATGTGCGCCTTAGGGGATGTGCTCCATATGGTACTCACCCTAAAATCCTTCTGCCTGAGTTAGGTATGCAGCCTGTGCCCCTCGAGCCTGTACTCCGTCTGCGGTCTTTTTTGCCCTTCCTCAAGCTTCATAACTTTTTACTTCGTGGAGGTAAATTCCTGGAGCCATTTGTCTAACCAGGCTTGTAGCCTGTCCAGATCCCTATGTAGCCTTTCCTTGTCTTCGTCCGCTTGTATTATCCTCATTAATTTCACGTCGACTGTGAACAGGGACACCTCTGACACTATCATTTCTGGCATGCCATTCACACATACAAAAAACAGCACCGGCCTTAAAACTGACCTTTGAGGAACCCCACTTGTCACATGCACCCCTTCGGACACCTCGTTGCGTACAATCGCTCGTTTTCTTCCTGTCAGGTATTCTTTGATCCACCGTATTGCTTTTCCTGTTATTCCTGTCTGCTCATCTAGCTTTTGTACCAGTCTCTTCTGTTGTACTATATCAAAAGCTTTCTCACAGTCTAAGAATAAGCGATTCATTCATCCGTCTTCTGTTTCCTTGTCGAACTCCCATGAGTTTGTGGCACAGGATTTTCCATCCCTGAAGCCGTGTTGGTTGTTATATATGAGCCCACTCCTTTCTAGGTGCTCGTGTGTGTGTGTGTGTGTGTGTGTGTGTGTGGTGTGTGTGTGTGTGTGTGTGTGTGCGCGCGCGCGCGCGTGCGCGCGTGCGTACGCCCGCTCTCCTAATGGTGGTTGCAGGTGTAGATTCATAGTTCCTGGCCCCGCATCTTCGTTGGTTGCTACTAAGTCCATTCTCTCCCTGCTCCATAAGCTTTATTACACCTCTTCTTAAAGCTATGTATGGATGCTGCCTCCACTACATCACTCTCCAGACTGTTCCACTTCCTGACACCTCTGACTGAAGAAGTTCTTCCTAACATCCCTGTGACTCAGATGAGTTTACAACTTCCAGTTGTGACCCTTTGTTGTTGTGTCCCATCTCTGGAACATCCCGTCTCTGTCCACCTTGTCGATTCATCTCAGTATTTTATATGTCGTTACCATATCCCCCCTATCTTTTCTGTCCCTCAGTGTCGTCAGGTCGATTTCCCTGAACCTCTCCTCGTAGAACATGCCCTTAGCTCCAGGACTAGTCTCGTTGCAAACCTTTGCACTTTCTCTAATTTCCTGATGTTCTTGGCCAGGTGTGGGTCCCAAACTGGTACTGCATACATTGGAGTATGGGCCTGACGTACACGGTGTGTACACCGTGTACGTCAGGCTCAGGGTCCTGAACCATTCCTTACTGAGATGTCGGAATGCTATTCTTAGGTTTGGTAGGCGCCCATATGCTGCAGCAGTTATATGGTTGATGTGCGCCTCAGTAGATGTGCTCGGTATTATACTCACCCCAAGATCCTTTTCCTTGAGTGAGGTTTGCAGTCTTTGGACCCCCCTAGACTGTACTGTCTGTGGTCTTTTCCCTTCCCCAATCTTCATGACCTTGCACTTGGTGGAGTTGAACTCCAAGAGCCAGTTTCCAGACCAGGCCTGCAGTCTCCAGATCCTTTTGTAGTCCTGCCTGGTCCTCCTCCGATTGATTTCTCCTCATAAACTCGCATCGTCTGCAAACAGGGACACTTCTGAGTCTATTCCTTCCGTCATGTCACTCACATATACCTGAAACAGCACCAGTCCTAGGACTGACCCCTGTGGGACCCCGCTCGTCACCAGAGCCCACTCTGACACCTCATCACGCACCAGGACTTTCTTGCTGCCTTCCGTCAGGTATTCTCTGATCCATTGCAATACCTTCCCTGTTATACCTGCCTCGTCCTCCATGCTTTTGCACTAATCTATTGTATGGAACTGTCAAAAGCCTTCTTATAGTCCAAGAAAACGCACTCTACCCCCTCTCTCTCTCTTACTGCTGTCACCTCGTCATAGAACTCAGTGGGTTGTGACAGGATTTCCCATTACTGAACCTGTGCTGGGTGTCGTCGATAAGCTCATTCCTGTCTAGGTGCTCCACCACTCTTTCCTGATAATCTTCTCCGTGACTTTCCCCTCAAGGAAGGTTCCTTGATGTTGGTGAGGGGCTCTTGATTTAGGGAATTGGATCTGTGCTCCAGTTCCCCGAATTAAGCCTGAATGCCTTCCACATCCCCCCCCCCTGGGCGCTGTATAATCCTACGGGTTTAGCGCTTCCCCCTTGATTATAATAATAATAATAATACATACTATACATGTCAGTGGCACTGGTCTGTAGGTTAATGCTGCGTGTCTGTCTCCTTTTAAAAGAAACTGGGACTACATTTGTTGTCTTCCATACCTTAAGTAGTCGCCCTGTTTCGATAGATGTGTTTACGATTATTGTTAGTGGTACACATTGCGCCTCTGCTCCCTCTCTCGGGACGCAAAGAGGGAGGCTGTCCGGCCCCATCGCCTTTTAAGTATGTAGCTCGCTTAGCAGCCTCTTGACCACCTCGATTGTATGTATTGTGTCTAGCACTTAATGGTATACCCCACCTATCCGCTTTTTTGGAGTCCCTTCCATCTCCTCTGTGAATACTACTTTGAAGCTTGTGTGTGTACTCGTCTAGTTGTACTCACCTAGTTGTGGTTGTGGGGGTCGATTCACAGCTCCTGGCCCCGCCTCTTCACCTGGCCGCTACCCGGTCTCGCTTCCCGCTCCTTGAGCTTTATCATACCTCTTAAACCTATGTAGGGATCCTGCCCCCACTACATCACTACCCAGGCTATTCTACTTCCTGATAACTCTGTGACTGAAGAAATACTTCCTAACATCCCTGTGGTTCATCTGAGTCTTCAGCTTCCAACTGTGACCTCACGTTGCTGTGTCCCATCTCTGGAACATCCTGTCTCTGTCCACCTTGTCTATACCTCTCAGTATTTTATATGTCGTTGTCATATCCCCCCTAACTCTCCTGTCTTCCAGTGTCATCAGGTCTATTTCCCTTAACCTCTCCTCGTAGGACATACCCATTAGCTCCGGGACTAGTCTTGTTGCAAACCTTTGCACTTTCTCTAGTTTACTTACACGCTTTGCTAGGTGATGGTTCCAAACTGGCGCTGCATATTCCAATATGGGTCTAACGTACACAGTGTACAGGGTCCTGAATGACTCCTTATTTAGATGTCGGAATGATGGTCTTAGGCTTGCCAGGCGCCCATATGCTGCAGCAGTTATTTGGTTGTGCGCCTCGGGAGATGTTCCCGGTGTTATAATCACACCAAGATCCTTTTCCTTGAGCGAGGTTTGTAGTCTCTGTCCCCTCTAGACTGTACTCCGTCTGTGGTCTTCTTTGCCCTTCCCCAATCTTCATGACTTTGCACTTGGTGGGGTTGAACTCCAGGATTCAGTTTCTGGACCAGGCCTGCAGCCTGTCCAGCCAAATCCCTCTGTAGTTCTGCCTGATCTTCGTCCGACTGAGTTCTTTTCATCAACTTCACATCATCTGCAAAGAGGGACTCTTTGGAGTCCATTCCTTCTGTCATGTTCGCAAATACCAGAAACAGCACCGGTCCTAGGACTGATCCCTGTGGCACCCCGCTTGTTACCTTCGCCCACTTTGACACCTCGCCACGTACCATAACTCTCTGTTGTCTTCCTGACAGGTATTCCCTGATCCACTGTAGTGCCTTCCCTGTTATCCCTTTGTGTGTGTGTGTGTGTGTGTGTGTGTGTGTGTGTGTGTGTGTGTGTGTGTTTGTTTCAAGCAAGTGTTGAGCTACGTGTTGGCCGCACCCCACTCATTACTCAGCAGTGGGAAGCAAGCAGTGTACACTACCTGGCTCTGGTAATCACTACCTGTCAAGACTCCGGGAGGTGAGGCTATCTACCTGCTGTCTCGATTCTTTTAGCATACTAGTAAATCATTAATGTATCATTACGTGTATAATATTACGTTAGTTATTTTAAATATGGCATATGCATTAATGAAAACATTACTAAAAAATTATTTTTTTTATATATAAAACCACTCGACAATACGAGGGTTATTTAGACAGTAGTTCACGCACACTAACACAACGTTGAAAAAGAAAGTACTCATGGAGAATGTATATATTACTGTATCCCAATGTTGTTCATTTTGTTGCAGTGATCCTGACATATAAGATTGGTAATTTCACGTTAAAACTCCAGATGTAATAATTGATTCTCAGTATTTATCAAAAGTTGGTCTAATCTAATTTTTAAGGAGTTGACTTCTAAGAATAAGAGAATGATATAAATAGCTTGGAAAACCGACCAGTTGAAGAATGAGAGACTTGTGCAACATCTGGGAATCTTTACTTTGGAGATGATTCTCCAGCCATTGTTTTTTTTTTCAGTCTAATACAGTGGAGAAATGTAGAAAATGAGGAAGAGTTCGAGGTAGTTTGTCCCTCAACCTGGAGTCGATGTGTTCAGTCCGTCAAGAATAACAGACTGAACTGGTTACCTCAAACTCCTTATTTCCCCCCTTTTCTTCTCTGTAGCGGTCGAAAAACCCCACGACTGGAGAAACGTTTCCTCATTGGTTATTGTTACTTCATTAATTATAAAGGAAGATTGGTCATGGTCTCTGTTACCGCCCCATTATTACACGTATTTCCAGAAAACAATGGAAAAAAATAAGGGAAAACATGTTAATTTTTGTTTTGGGGACGATCTTTTAACCAAACATTCCCCTCAAGGAAGGTTCCTTGTTTTGGTGGGGGGGCTCTTGATTTGGGAATTGGACTGTGCCCCATTTCCCCCAAATTTAAGCCTAAATGCCTTCCAACCCCCCCCCCGGCCTTTTAACCCTCGGGTTTAGCGCTTCCCCTTGATTAAAATAATAATTAACCCAAACATTAACAAGCTTTAGCTGGTTTACACATTATTATTATAACCCTGGGGGGAGGGGGGGCCTAAACCCATAAGTTTATACAGCGCATTCAGAACTGGATCAGTGATAGTCTAAGAGGAAAACTGTTTTTAAAAGCGAATGTCTGAGGATAGAACCCTGACAGAATGGTGTCATGTCCACAGCGCCAAATTTTTAGTTGACATGAAATTGGATGTGCGCCCCCTTTAAGGGGAGGCCTTGGTGTGGTGATGAGGCTCTTGGTCTGAGGAATCAGACCTGATGGTCTCCTTCTTCAGACCGAACCTAATTATCCCCCAATATCCCCTTCCCTATCCCATTCTCCCTACCCTCCCTTTCCCTTTCCTCCTCCTCCTCCTCCCCCTCCCTCCCTTATTCCCTTCCTCTTTTTGGCCTGTAGGATTCTTCCCACAGGCACGCTGGTTCCTAGGTAGGGGGAAGGGTACCGGGGTCCATCCCATTCCCTTGAGGTTCTTGTAGGTGGCGTATTTGCCGTGGAATCTGGATCGCCTGGAGATGTCCCGATCCCTCTCCGGTATCCTGGGGGCTGGCTTTGGGTGTCTTTTGGGCGACGGGTATATCTCTGGAAGCAGCCTTTCGGATTCTGGGGGTGGTGGCCGAAGGAGGTATGCTTTGTGGCGGATATCCGGCCGCCCTCTTTTGTCCTCCGTGGTAGCTCGGCAGATGTGAGGTTGCTATCCCGGACTGCTGGTTTACTGGCATGAAGGGTAGGGTATGACACAGGTTCCATGCTGCATCTGTGCTACTTGCAACGGTTCTGAGGTCTTCTTGGGCGCGGAGGGAGATTTCCGGCCCTTTCATTCTTCCTAGGAACTATTCCTCCTCGCTCCATTTTTTTTTTTTTTTTTTTACTTTTCTGTTTTTTTTTCTTAAAAATAGACAAGAGGTAACCTAACCATGGAGATCCCAGTCCATGAACCTCCTACCCCTGGGCCCCTTCTTGATACCGCACCCCATTTTGACCCTGCCTCATTTTTTGACCACTCTTCGGACACTCCTGATGCCCCTGTACCTCTTGCTGGTGCTGTTTCCTCACCTGCTTCAGGTACCGGGGTTTCGACTGACTCCTTCGATTTGTCTGACCTCCGCTCTCCTTTGACTATGCTTCCGGCCTCTCCCTCTACGATGCGGCAATTTTCGAATCGCCAGCCCCTTTCACGTCGGACCAACTCCGGTCCCACTCCTAAACGCCAATGATACTTCACCTTCTCGTTCTTCTCAGAAAAGATCAACCCGTCATGCACTCCCTTTCCACGCTCAGTTTCAGAATGCACAATGGACTAAATTCTTTACTTTACGACCAACTTCCTCTAGTGCCTATCTTTCCGACCATATTATTGGCAAGGCGCTCCTACGACATGTTGGTAGAGATATTTCTTCTGTTTTCTAATTATGTCCAAGAATTTGTATTGATAAAGCCACTGGATGGCGAAACGTCTACAATAAAGATAACCAGATGTTGCAGAAGTGTCTTAACTTTCATCTTGTCGATATTGTATACCTGTCTTACACATCCTTTGAGTTAATTAAGTCAGTTGTGGACCTAATCCAGTGTGTGGACTTGGGTGTGCCTTGATTAGTAGGCAATTGTAAAAAAAATTGCAATGCATACAAGGGCCTTTTGGCATGTACACCCAACTATAATTCCTTGTACAACTATGTATCATATCGAAATAATGTATGGTATTGTAAGATATTGTGCCAGTGTGATAACCTTTAAAAAATCTAGAACTCTGTATGTTGTATACATGGAGAGGGTATCAGGGGTCAACGCCCCCGCGACACTGTGACTAGGCCTCGTTCTCATGTCATTTATAGAAATGTCTACGTTAGACACAAATTCAGTGTTTCACTAAACTCTTAATAATGGGTTTAAACTGCGTCTATTTGTTTGCTTGTGGGAATGTTGATTATTATCTCATTTCGTTGTGGTTGCCGACAATAAACTACTGTTATCCTAGCAGTGTTTACTGTTATCCTAGCAGTGTTTACTGTTATCCTAGCAGTGTTTACTGTTATCCTAGCGGTGTTTACTGTTATCCTAGCAGTGTTTACTGTTATCCTAGCAGTGTTTACTGTTATCCTAGCAGTGTTTACTATTATCCTAGCAGTGTTTACTATTATCCTAGCAGTGTTTACTATTATCCTAGCAGTGTTTACTGTTATCCTAGCAGTGTTTACTGTTATCCTAGCAGTGTTTACTATTAGAGTAGCAGGAGAAAACAGTGTTTTGAGCATGACTTAAAACCACATTTGTCTCCTATAAGGTTATTTTTTTTTTATTTAGCAGGGAATTTTTTTTTCTGCTGTGGCACGCCAGCAGTGGCCGGAGGGTAGGAGCAGAGTCTTTTGCTTAACTATTCTTGCGTAGACTTCACTCTTCTTGTCTAGATGAGATATAACAGCCAGTCCTTTGTTTCGACAGAATTTCTTAGGAGAAAACCCTTAGTCTTTCACATGTAATCGATGGTTGTGTTCACTCGCTGGTTGTGTTCACTCACTGGTTGTGTTCACTCACTGGATGTGTTCACTCACTGGTTGTGTTCACTCACTGGATGTGTTCACTCACTGGTTGTGTTCACTTACTGGTTGTGTTCACTCACTGGATGTGTTCACTCACTGGATGTGTTCACTCGCTGGTTGTGTTCACTCACTGGATGTGTTCACTCGCTGGTTGTTTGTTCACTCCTGGATGTGTTCACTCACGGGTTTTTGTGTTCACTCACTGGATGTGTTCACTCGCTGGTTGTGTTCACTCACTGGATGTGTTCACTCGCTGGTTGTGTTCACTCACTGGATGTGTTCACTCACTGGTTGTGTTCACTCACTGGATGTGTTCACTCACTGGTTGTGTTCACTTACTGGTTGTGTTCACTCACTGGATGTGTTCACTCACTGGTTGTGTTCACTCACTGGTTGTGTTCACTCACTGGATGTGTTCACTCACTGGTTGTGTTCACTCACTGGTTGTGTTCACTCACTGGTTGTGTTCACTCACTGGATGTGTTCACTCGCTGGTTGTGTTCACTCACTGGATGTGTTCACTCACTGGTTGTGTTCACTCACTGGATGTGTTCACTCACTGGTTGTGTTCACTTACTGGTTGTGTTCACTCACTGGATGTGTTCACTCACTGGTTGTGTTCACTCACTGGTTGTGTTCACTCACTGGTTGTGTTCACTCACTGGTTGTGTTCACTCACTGGTTGTGTTCACTCGCTGGTTGTGTTCACTCACGGGTTTGTGTTCACTCACTGGTTGTGTTCACTCACTGGTTGTGTTCACTCGCTGGTTGTGTTCACTCACTGGTTGTGTTCACTCACTGGTTGTGTTCACTCGCTGGTTGTGTTCACTCGCTGGTTGTGTTCACTCACTGGTTGTGTTCACTCACTGGTTGTGTTCACTCGCTGGTTGTGTTCACTCACTGGTTGTGTTCACTCACTGGATGTGTTCACTCACTGGTTGTGTTCACTCACTGGTTGTGTTCACTCACTGGATGTGTTCACTCACTGGTTGTGTTCACTCACTGGTTGTGTTCACTCACTGGTTGTGTTCACTCCATGGATGTGTTCACTCACTGGTTGTGTTCACTCACTGGTTGTGTTCACTCACTGGTTGTGTTCACTCGCTGGTTGTGTTCACTCGCTGGTTGTGTTCACTCGCTGGTTGTGTTCACTCGCTGGTTGTGTTCACTCACTGGTTGTGTTCACTCACTGGTTGTGTTCACTCACTGGTTGTGTTCACTCACTGGTTGTGTTCACTCGCTGGTTGTGTTCACTCACTGGTTGTGTTCACTCACTGGTTGTGTTCACTCACTGGTTGTGTTCACTCACTGGTTGTGTTCACTCACTGGTGTGTTCACTCACTGGTTGTGTTCACTCGCTGGTTGTGTTCACTAAACTGGTTGTGTTCACTCACTGGTTGTGTTCACTCACTGGTTGTGTTCACTCACTGGTTGTGTTCACTCACTGGATGTGTTCACTCACTGGTTGTGTTCACTCACTGGTTGTGTTCACTCACTGGTTGTGTTCACTCACTGGTTGTGTTCACTCACTGGTCGTGTTCACTCACTGGTTGTGTTCACTCACTGGTTGTGTTCACTCACTGGTTGTGTTCACTCACTGGTTGTGTTCACTCACTGGTTGTGTTCACTCACTGGTTGTGTTCACTCACTGGTCGTGTTCACTCACTGGTTGTGTTCACTCACTGGTTGTGTTCACTAAATGGATGTGTTCACTCACTGGTCGTGTTCACTAAATGGATGTGTTCACTCACTGGTCGTGTTCACTCACTGGTTGTGTTCACTCACTGGTTGTGTTCACTCACTGGTTGTGTTCACTAAATGGATGTGTTCACTCACTGGTTGTGTTCACTCACTGGTTGTGTTCACTCACTGGTTGTGTTCACTAAATTGATGTGTTCACTCACTGGTCGTGTTCACTAAAATGGTTTGTGTTCACTCACTGGTTGTGTTCACTCACTGGTTGTGTTCACTAAATGGATGTGTTCACTCACTGGTTGTGTTCACTCACTGGTTGTGTTCACTAAATGGATGTGTTCACTCACTGGTCGTGTTCACTAAATGGATGTGTTCACTCACTGGTTGTGTTCACTCACTGGTTGTGTTCACTAAATGGATGTGTTCACTCACTGGTTGTGTTCACTAAATGGATGTGTTCACTCACTGGTCGTGTTCACTAAATGGATGTGTTCACTCACTGGTTGTGTTCACTCACTGGTTGTGTTCACTAAATGGATGTGTTCACTCACTGGTTGTGTTCACTCACTGGTTGTGTTCACTAAATGGATGTGTTCACTCACTGGTTGTGTTCACTCACTGGATGTGTTCACTCACTGGTTGTGTTCACTAAATGGATGTGTTCACTCACTGGATGTGTTCACTCACTGGTTGTGTTCACTCACTGGATGTGTTCACTCACTGGTTGTGTTCACTCACTGGATGTGTTCACTCACTGGTTGTGTTCACTCACTGGTCGTGTTCACTAAATGAATGTGTTCACTCACTGGTTGTGTTCACTCACTGGTTGTGTTCACTAAATGGATGTGTTCACTCACTGGTTGTGTTCACTCACTGGTTGTGTTCACTAAATGGATGTGTTCACTCACTGGTCGTGTTCACTAAATGGATGTGTTCACTCACTGGTCGTGTTCACTAAATGGATGTGTTCACTCACTGGTCGTGTTCACTCACTTGTTGTGTTCACTAAATGGATGTGTTCACTCACTGGTTGTGTTCACTCACTGGTTGTGTTCACTCACTGGATGTGTTCACTCACTGGTCGTGTTCACTAAATGGATGTGTTCACTCACTGGTTGTGTTCACTCACTGGTTGTGTTCACTAAATGGATGTGTTCACTAAATGGTTGTGTTCACTCACTGGTTGTGTTCACTAAATGGTGTGTTCACTCACTGGTCGTGTTCACTAAATGGATGTGTTCACTCACTGGTCGTGTTCACTAAATGGATGTGTTCACTCACTGGTCGTGTTCACTCACTGGTTGTGTTCACTAAATGGATGTGTTCACTCACTGGTCGTGTTCACTAAATGGATGTGTTCACTCACTGGTCGTGTTCACTAAATGGATGTGTTCACTCACTGGTCGTGTTCACTAATGGATGTGTTCACTCACTGGTCGTGTTCACTAAATGGATGTGTTCACTCACTGGTCGTGTTCACTAAATGGATGTGTTCACTCACTGGTCGTGTTCACTAAATGGATGTGTTCACTTACTGGTCGTGTTCACTAAATGGATGTGTTCACTCACTGGTCGTGTTCACTAAATGGATGTGTTCACTCACTGGTCGTGTTCACTAAATGGATGTGTTCACTTACTGGTCGTGTTCACTCACTGGTTGTGTTCACTTACTGGTTGTGTTCACTTACTGGTTGCGTTCACTTACTGGTTGTGTTCACTCACTGGTTGTGTTCACTCACTGGTTGTTCACTTACTGGTTGCGTTCACTTACTGGTTGTGTTCACTCACTGGTTGTGTTCACTTACTGGTTGTGTTCACTTACTGGTTGTGTTCACTTACTGGTTGTGTTCACTTACTGGTTGTGTTCACTTACTGGTCGTGTTCACTCAATGGATGTGTTCACTCACTGGTCGTGTTCACTCAATGGATGTGTTCACTCACTGGTCGTGCTCACTCACTGGATGTGTTCACTCACTGGTCGTGTTCACTCAATGGATGTGTTCACTCACTGGTCGTGCTCACTCACTGGATGTGTTCACTCACTGGTCGTGTTCACTCAGTATATTACTCTTACATTTACTCCCTGGATGAGTGGGTTAGGCTACTCACTACCTGGAGGATGTTCCAGGGGTCAACACCCCCGCGACACAGTCCTTGAGGCCTCCCGGTGGACCAGGACCTGATCAACCAGGTTGTTACTGCTGGCCGCACGTAGTGCAACATACGAACCACAGCCCGGCTAATCGGGTACTGACTTTAAGTATCTGTCCAGCTGCCTCTTGAAGACAACCAGTTGTCTATTGGTAATTCCCCTTATGCCTGGCGGGAGGATGTTGGACAGTCTTGGGCCCCGGATACTTATTGTGTTTTCTCTTAGTGTATTAATGACGCCTTTACTGTTTTTATTGGGGATACGTTGCACCGTCTGTCCAGTCTTTTGCTTTCGTAGGGAGTGATTTCTGTGTGCAGATTTGGGACTAGCCCCTCTAGGATTTTCCAGGGGTAGATTATGATGTTTCTATTTCGCCTACGATCCAATGAGTACAGGTCATGTGACTCCAAGCGTTCCCAGTGTTTGACGGAACTTAATGTATGTACACTCAAGTTCATTGGTGTAAAACATTATAAAATACATGTTACTAACCCTCCTTTCATATACAGTATAAGGAAAATTAACTGATCCCATGCTGATAATCATATTATTTAGGAGACCTTGTTTGTAACTGGGCTGCGGAGATGATCCACTGAATAGACAATAGGAAGACGTGAGGAGAGAGTTCACAACTCTCATCAGCCAAATTGAATCCTATTTTTTTTTTTAACATTACAGATACGCCATGTTCGTGTTGGGCGTGAGCAGAGTGGTGTTGCTGTGGTTGGTGTGGTGGTGTGGAGCCTCGCGGGGCGGCCAGCCTAGTGTCATCTTGGTCGAGTCGCCACAGGGGAATATTTTCGTAGTGGAGAACACTGGATTCGCTCAATATGATGCCTTCCTTGCTTTTACCACCAGTAGCGCCTGTGAGTGATGGGTGGTTTAGTACTGTCGTCTTACTGAACACACAGGCAGGTACACAATCACCGGATTCTGCAGAGAGCATTAGTAGAAGAAAGGTTTGGACACAGAGGAAAAAGTAATGTTCCCAAAGGATCAGCCTTTGTACCCATATTACTCTTAATGTATGTGAGTGATCTGCCAGGAAGGATAAATTTTATGTCAAGGTTTTCAGACGACAAAAAGCTGATGAGAAGGATTTTATATTTTGCATTGTGACTTCGAAATGTGCAGAGTTATAAACATTAAGACTTGGGAATGAAAATTAGCCATAGTGTTCCGACTAGGTGTTAAACATTGCAGGAGGCCAGAAAGAATAAGGCCTGAGTGTAGCCATTACACTCAGTCTATTCCCTAAAACAAACTAAAATAGGATAACATCTGCAACAGAAGCATGGTTAGCCTGTAATGCACACAAACCAATTTTCATGTAGCAAACGCGAACATGGAGACCCTCATCTAGTTAAGTACAGAGAGAAGCTTGAGAAAGCTCAAAGATGTACCACTAGACTAGTCACGGAGCTAAAATACGAAGACAACCCTAACGAGTTTTTTTTTTTTCTCTCCTCTCTTGTCACTGGAGAGAGAAATACTAAGGGATTATGTCAGGGTAGATATGAACAGGTTGTCTCATACAAAATGGGCCAGAAAGAGAAGACAAAGTGTAACTAATTCACAAAGGGACATGAAATATAATGAACTTGAGAATTAGTAGAGGCAAACTCTTATTACGTATCCCAAAGAAGGTACGACTGCACCTAAGAATTTATTCAGATATAAAATACACTAGTTAACAGGATGATAAAAGACAGCCCAGAAGACGAACCTCAACCCTCGCAAGAACAACTTAGTAAATATAGTGGCAGGATCCGTACACAGCTTTGAAAATTGGCACGAGAGTACTCAGGAAACCATAAGGGAGTGAACCCAACAGCAGGTAGCTGGGTAGGAAGGAAAGGAAGGGGAAGAAAGAAGTTAAAGATCGACCCCTGGAACTGTAGATAAGCGACGTAGTTAGGCTAATCGTGCACAACTGAAAGCTCCAGGATTTGGTTCTAGGAGAGGGAGATGTAGACATGTCCTCTTACACCAGGTCCCCCTCTTCAAGGGGGGCTTCTTGTTGTGGTGAAGAGGCTCTTGGTCTGAGGAATTAGACCTGTCGGTCTCCTTCCTCAGACCGAACCTAATTACCCCCCAATCTCCCCCGCCCTATCCCATCCTCCCGTTTTTCCTTTCCTCCTCCTCCCCACCCCTCCCTTTTGCCCTTCCTCTTTTTGGCCTTTGGGATTTCTCCCACAGGCGCGCTAGTTCCTAGGTAGGGGAAAGGATACCGGGGGCCATCCCATTCCGTTGAGGTTCTTGGGGGTGGCGTAGTATGCCGTGGAATCTGGATCGCCTGGGGATGTCCCGATCCCTCTCCGGTATCCCGGAGAGTAGCTTTGGGTGTCTTTCGGGCGACGGGTGTATCTCTGGAAGCCACCTTTCGGATTCTGGGGGTGGTGGCTGAAGGAGGTATGCTTTGTGGCGGATATCCGGCTGCCCTCTCTTTTGTCCACCGAGGTAGCTCGGCAGATGTGAGGTTGCTATCCCGGATTGCTGGTTTACTGGCATGAAGGGTAGGGTATGGCACGGGTTCCATGCTGCATCTGAGCTACTAGCGGTGCTGAGGTCCTCTTGGGCGCGGAGGGAGATTTCCGGCCCTTTCATTCCTCCTAGGAACTATTCCTCCCTGCTCCCTCTTTTTTTTTATTCTTTTTTCATTTTTATTTTCTTTTTTCTTTTTTTTTCTTAAAAACAAAAAGCAAAGGAGTAACCTAACCATGGAGAACCCAATCCATGAACCCACTACCCCCGGGCCCCTACTTGATACCGCACCCCATTCTGACCCTGCCTTGTTTTTAGACCACTCTTCGGACACTCCTGATGCCCCTGTACCTCTTGCTGGTGCTGTTTCCTCACCCGCTTCAGGTACTGGGGCTTCGACTGACTCCTTCGATTTGTCTGACCTCCGCTCTCCTTTGACTATGCTTCCGGCCTCTCCCTCTACGGTACGGCAATTTTCGAATCACCAGCCCGTTTCACGAAGGACCAACTCCGGTCCTACTTCTAAACGCCAAAGTCAATCTCCTGATGATGTTCCTTCGTTACCTTCCCATTCTACTCAGAAAAGACCGACACCTCATGCACTCCCTCTCCACGTTCAGTTTCGGGCCACACAATGGACTAAATTCTTTACTTTAAGACCGACTTCTTCTGCCTATCTTTCTGACCATGGTATTGGCAAAGCGCTCCTACGTCATGTTGGTAGAGATATTTCATTTCATGCTCTCAAGAGCGGTACATGCATCATCACTGTAAAGAATGCTACTCAAGCTCATGATCTTTCTCTCCTTTCACATATCGATACTACTCCTATCACTATTGAAAAACATCTTTCTCTCAATTCTTGTAGTGGTACTGTCATTCTGCCCCATACCATAGTTCAACAGAATTTCCAGTCATGTGACAATGACATTCTTGAACAGCTGGAACTCCAGGATCTCCCAATCCTCAAAGTAGACACTTATGTCCTTCCTGCCCGTGGGTGGAGACGTTACCCTTGCAATGTGGCTCGATTAACTTTCGACAGCCGAGAACTCCCATCCTCTGTTTATGTCGCGGGACATAGGTTACAAGTTCGAAAAGTGATCCCTACACCGTAACAGTGTAGAAATTGCTGACGTTTTGGTCACCCAGCGAAATATTGCAGATCTATAGCCGAATGCCCAGTCTGTGGTGCCGACGACCATTCTAATACATCTTGCAGTCAACCTCCATCTTGCCTTAATTGTAATGAAGCTCAGCCTTCATACTCCCGCCGTTGCCAGGTCTACTTAAATGAACGTGAAATCCGTTGCCTCAAAGAGGCAGGTCTCCCTTATGCTATGGCAGTTACTCATCTCTGCCTCCAAGGAAGACTACCCTATGTTTCTTATTCTCGTGTTTCAAAACATCCCCCCACTTCTGGGGTCAAATCTTCTGCAGCCTCCTCTGTTGTTACCCCTCCCATAGCCACTCTGGCATCTAATCCTTTTGCTGTCCTTGGCTCTGACGTCCCGACTACGACTCGGTCTGTTCTCACATCTTCGCGTCCTTCCTCACAAGCCCCAGTATCGACAAGACCTCATACGACACCTTATACCAATCGCCCCTCTACTTCTCAGAAGTCCAAAAAATCCACATTGCTCAAATCTTCTTTGCCCCTTCTTTCCCTTCTTCCACCTCCACACTTTACCTTTCCAGTCTCTGTGCCTAGTTCTTCCCCTCTCTCTGGCTCTATTACAAGTGTGGAGGTTCACCCTCCTCCTCGTACTATGCCTTCCTCCCCCGTCCCCTCCCAAGTTTCTCCCTCTTCTGCCACCTCCCAGGTTTCTGCCTCTTCTGTCCCCCCCCACACTTCATCTCCAGTCCCCTACACTCTTTCGTACCCCTCTACTTTGGTACAGTCCATTACTTTCCCAATCTTTACTCACCCTCCTCTTTCTACCTCCAATATGGTCTCCCATACATCTTTGAATTCAGAAACACTTGAAGCCATTTCAGAATATATTGCAGAGACTAAACCTTCAATGGACACTGATTCACCTCCTACTCCTTCTCTTCCCTCTCCTCCATCTCCACAACTCCATTCTTCCCAACGCTCCGTTCCTTCGCTACTTGAACGTCTTCCAATGCCACCACACGTTGACTTTTCTAACCCCTCTAGTCCGTAGGTGCCCTTCCCAATGGATTCCTGGTATTTTCTTTATTGCCAATCATGGCCTATTTACAGTGGAAGATCTGCGCCCTCAGGGGTAATTGGGGTGAGCTTCAGATGTTGCTTTCCAGGTTTTCCCCTGTTGGTGCTTGCTTACAAGAACCAAAATTACACTCAGCTGTTTCCCAACCTATCTCAGGCTATAATTTATTGTATTCTTCGGATCCTTTCTCAGATGGGACCTTTAATGAAAGTGCCCTTCTTCTACACAATGATATTCCGTACTGTCAACTATTTGTCCATACCTCGCTGCATTACACTGCAGCCCGTATCCACTTGACTAAGTGGTTTACAATATGTTCTTTATATCTCTCTCCTTCTCGAGCATTTTCTATCCCAGATTTTGCCTTTCTAGTTTCATCGTTACCACCACCACCACTTCTGTTACTTGGTGATTTTAACGCCCACAATTTCCTCTGGGGGGGTCTCATTGTGACTCACGAGGCATCCAGTTGGAGGCTTTTCTCGCCTCTCACCCCCTCCGTGTTTTAAATACGGGTACTCCCACCCATTTTGATCCTCGTACTCATACTCTTGCATCGATCTATCAGTCTGCTCTTCCTCCACTGCACTAGACTTTACCTGGTCTGTTCTACCGGACTTACATGACAGCGATCATTTTCCAATCATTCTTACTTCTCCTTCCTATTCACCACCTTTCCGTAGCCCTCGCTGGCAATTTGATCGGGCAAATTGGGATCTTTACTCGCAACTCACTGCTTTTAGTGAGGTTCCTTCTTCATCCTCCATTGATGAGCTCCTACACCTCTTCTCGACATCAGTTTATACCGCAGCTTCTCATTCTATACCCCAAACCTCAGGCAGGCATTCTCAGAAGTGCGTGCCTTGGTGGTCTCCTGCTTGTGCTCGTGCAGTACGTTTGAAACGTGCTGCATGGGGCAGGTACCGGTACAATAGAACCGCTGAGAGACTTCTTGATTTTAAGCAGAGGCGTGCGATCGCTCACTGTGTCATCTGTGAAGCTAAACGCACTTGCTGGCGAGACTGTTTCCATCATCACCTCTGCTTCTTCTATGAGTGCAGTCTGGAAAAAAGTGAGGAAACTGAGTGGTAAATACTCTCCTGACCCGGCTCCTGTTCTACGGGTTGCTGGTGTTGATGTAGCAAACCCTCTCGACGTTGCCATTGAACTTGGCACACATCTGGTCC